GCAAGCCGCTTTGTTGACATGAGAGTGTAGACGCAAAGGACAGTGTAGATACAATAACGCCTTCTGTTGACAGAACTCTGTCAACAAAAGGCATTATTCCTCGTAGAATGAGGTTTACCGCCATTGACAAAACTGCCGAGTTCTGTCGACATCGGTACTGTAGACGCAGGTATAGTTTTGTCGACAAAAGTCCACTTTTGTCAACAAAACCCTGTAGTCTAGACACACCCTATGTTATGTTTGTGAGAGACTGAACAGCAACACACTGGTATTAAAAATCTAGATTCAATCACAAAATACTTTCAATTCCACTCACCATCGATCTAAAGCTGCTGACCTACTGGTGCAAAAGATGCAACTCCAGTGACTTCACCAAAGGTTCTATGTGCAAAGAGGATAAAGGAAGGGGCACCAGGTCTCAGAGAGGTTTTCACTGGAATTGTAGCTCAGAAGTCGTTTGGAACATATGGACAGCTGCTTTATGAAGAACAGGATTTGTAATTATTCATATTCCAGTGGCATACAGAAGCCCTGTCACAGGTGAGCTGTTCCTTACAGAATTGGGCTGAGCCTCACCTGTGTCATCCTTCAACTGAGACAGGAGTGGCCTGAGGCCAGCTGCGGCAACTGGCGCCCCAGGCAGGTGGCGCAATTGGCGCCCCTGCCTGTACGGCCATCAATGGCCATTACATCATCACGGGGCGCCCCAGCGCCCCTGAACTGAGACCAAGGTTTACTGGGCTAGCTGCTGTATCTCAGCAGTATGACATAGGGATGTAATGTAAAAGCTTATAGGTTAATGCTAAAGACCACGTGCATTTCTCCCTCCCCCCAACAATCATTTTTTTTAGCAGGCTGGCCAGCAGCTTGACTCAGTCCTGGTTTGCGATGGGTCCAGGACCTACCCCTGCTGTAGCTTTGCATTTAAAGTGTATTAGGAGCCGGGCAGACAGGCAGCCCAGCTCAGTCCCAATTCTTGCTGGATTCGGGAGCTCAGACCTCTCCTGGACAGGGGCCGCTGCCACCCTGCACTGCTGCCTCTGATACAGCAGTGCGGGGTGACAGGCAGTCGATCCGTGAGGGAAGCTGGTTTTTAAACTGCCTCCCCTTGTGGACCAGCTCCCGCCTGGCACCCGATGCTACTGCCTCTGATACAGACGCAGCAGCACAGAGTGGCAGGGAGCTCCTCTTGGGTGGGTCCAGAGCACACTGGCTGCTGGCCCCGCTTCCGGGTACTATAGAATAGTCCAGCAACCGATAAGAATTCATGAGGTTAATTGACTATTCAATTACCCAATATTTAACATCCCTAGTATGACAGCCAGTCCTGGTCCCAAAGAACTAGCAGTTGAAGTAGATGAAAGAGAAAGTAGCTGGTGTTGCCCATGTGCTGTACACATGGTGAGCGAGAGACACAGGAAGAGCATGTGAGTGAGTCAAGGTCACAAAAGGAACGTGTGGGGGAGCTGGTTAGTGAACTTGTGGGGCACGGGTAACTACGCTACCAATCGCCGCTGAGGCTCAGGCTGGAGCCCCGCCCTAGGCTTCAGAGCCCAAGCTCTAGCCTGAGTTGTTTTTAGCACCGTTACTTCGGCCTGAGGCCGTTCACCTTGGCTTGGAGGCTCGCTGCCACGGTCTGCGTAGATGTGCCCTAGGGACTGATCTCCTCTGTGGACCAGGCATGGAAGGGGGCCAGTAACACTCAGCAGGAGGTTACACTTCTATGCCTTTGCTAATGGGAAAGAAGGGCCAAAGGGCTAGTTGCAGTGGGGTGGAACACAATAGCAGTCCTGGCGTCAGTCATGCTTTGGGGTTAAGGTCTGCAAAGGGACAGGGAGAAGATGGAAGGGGGCAGGGCATTATGGTAGAATGGGACAGGTGTTGCATTCTTCAATTGGTCTCGCCCTGCACATCCCTGAGGTGCACTGATCCTGAGCCAGGCCCCAACACCCAGAGCTTTTACTGTGGTTAGTGCCCCACTACACTGCCCTCGCCATTGGCCTGTGCTTTCAAGGCAAAGGATTGGTTGCCTTTTCAAAAGATATGTGCTAGTGGAACACCAACAGATCCTGGTTATCAGTGGGCAGTACTGAACCTGGAACCCCCGAAGCTTAGTTTGAGTCTCTACTGCTCTCTTATCTAGACCTAAAAGGCTCATTAAGCTCTAGGTGGTCTAGGTGCCACTAGTGGGGGACAGCACCACACCAAGCAGGCACAGTTACAACTAGTTCAACCAGAAATCATGAACTTGATGCAGGAATCAGTGGGTGGAATTCTATGGCCTCTGTCATGCAGGAGGTCAGATGACATTGCCAGGCCTGACATACTCCCTACACCTCACACACTGTGATCAAAAAGTGTCATGAGTACATTACTGGAAAACAAATGCCTCATACTTGCCCGATGTATGCATGTGGGGTGTCCAAAGAGTTACAGCTATATGCTAAAATTATGTTCTTAACATGAGTTTGGCAAGCAGTGCAAAAGCCCAGTCTGCCCTAGATAAAGGAAAGTGTTGTCAGGCAGAGACAATAAAGGCACATTTACAAAAAAGATAAACAAAGCTGTCAACCAGGCAAGGGGAGAAGATGCCTCTTGCATAGGTCTTAACTTCACATGAGTAATGGAATCAGTTGATTTTATACAGTATTATTTCACTTTTAAAATGTATGAAAACTAATGACACTGGTGATGAACATCATTGTGAAATGTGTACAATCACATGGTGTGAGGGATTATGGATCCTTAATAATGTTACGCTTTAAAGCTCTGACTAAGGAGTGTTTGAACCTGGCAGGTTAGGGAGAGCTGATAAACAGGTTTTTTCCTACACAGGCGGAAAGGCAGGCATCTACCTGTCTCCAATGAAATTAAGCAAGAGGTGACCAGAGTCAATGGAATCCTATTTGTATACAATCAGCAGGGTGATAGGAAATACACGTCAAAGCAAGAACAGCATGAGGCCATCCTGAGCCTGGGGACAAAACAGTGAGTTAGGGAAAACAGAAGGCAAGAGAAGCTGCCATCTTGGCATTCATCGCAAGGGGCCAGAGCTTTTGCAAGCTGAGAAAGATGGTTCCTTCAGCCAAGATGCAGTGTCTGGAAACTGAATATAAGTGAAAAACCGCTTAGGGCAAATATCTTTCACCTAGGAAGACAAGGGAAATTAGAACCTTCTACTTCTGTGGAAAGTCTTGACTGAGAGAAAGTTGGTCACAGCTGGACCAAAATAAAATTGGTAATAGAATCATAGAACTGGAAGGGACCTTGAGAGGTCATCAAGTCCAAATCCCCTGCCCTCATCACAGGACTAAGCACCATCTCATCCCTGATAGGTGTTGATCTGAGCTGCTCTTGAATATCTCCAGTGATGGGGATTCCATATCCTCCCTAGGAAATTTATTCCTGTGTTTAACCACCCTGACAGTTAGCAAGTTTTCCTAATGTCCAACCTAAACCTCCCTTGCTGCAATTTAAGCCCATTGCTTCTTGTCCTATCATCATAGGCCAAGGAGAACAGTTTTTTCTCTCTGCTCCTTGTAACATCTTGAAAATTGCTATCATGTCCCCTCTCAGTCTTCTCTTTTCTAAACTAAACAAGCCCAATTCTTTCAGTCTTCCCTCATAGTTCATGTTTTCTAGACCTTTAATAATTTTTGTTGCTCTTCTTTGGAGATTCTCTACAATTTCTCCACATCTTTCTTGAAATGTGGTGCCCAGAACTGGACACGATACTCCAACTGAGGCCTAATCAGTGCAGAGTAGATAGGAAAAATGACTTCTTGTGTCTTGCTTACATGAGATCTTACTAGGGTTCACTAGCTTACTTTAACCTCTGGAATCAGGTGTCACCCAGCTAGTTAGAATAGCACCCACAGTGCCCACAGTCAGCAGCATGTGTTTCTACTGGTACTGTGCTTCTGCACATGCCTTGACGCACATAACAAACTTTATTCCACACACAGATGGAAAAAATTAGAGAGAACAATGTGCCACCCCCTCTTGCTTTTTTATAAATACAGCAGTTTGGTGGAAGAGGTATCAGGGACCCTTCTGCCTAGAAATGCACTGATTAGTGATCAAATACTGACTCTCCTCTGTCTTCACCAAATGCACTGACACCAGAAGAATCTCTTCTCAAAGCTGAAAATTAAGGCAATGCAAGTGACTTGATCAAGGAAATGAGCTAAAAATGAGCCAGAAAAGCCTTTTACTCAATCATAAACACAATCATAAGGAAAGTGCTGGATAGAAACCTTATGGCAACTGCCTTGCTCTTGTCCCCTCACTGCCCCTATAAAAAAATGGGACCATTTCCAAACCAGGTCAGAAAGTCAACAGATGTATCATTGACTTCAGTGGAACTTTGCCACCAGATGGGAATCTGTTCCTGTATCTTGCCCGAACTCCCTGTAATAGCTTGAGATGAGGGAGGGAAACATATTTACCCATAACCATCAAGATGTTTCCATCCACTCTCTGACACTTTGAATTCCAGTTGCTTCCTTTACTCAGAAACTGGAAATAGCCCCAGTTTTAGCTACAGCCAGCAAATCCTTCCTATTTTTAGTCATACCCATTTGGCTCAATGCCTTTAGCTTTGGTTACATTGGTGTAAATCCACCATAATTCCACTGACCCCAATGGAATATTCTGCATTTTTACCAGTGAAAGAGTTATACACTGAAAAAATATCAATATTTACTAAATACATATTTTGTTTTACATAGTAAAGATATAAGCCATATATATGACAGAAAATGTATCTGAGTTAACCCTCATAAGCGCCTACAGTGTAATTAAAAATAAAATTCCAGTTAGCTTGTGCTGGCTTTCATGTAACAAAACAAAGATATGGAGCTGAAAAATGATCCAGGGAACAAACTGGGAGCAAACTTGTAGCACTGCATTCTTTCGAAGGATACTTATAATAGCATAGGTGTTAGTAGTAGGCTGGAGCCCAGGGCTAATTGGGGTAATTAAATGTTAGCTGCCAATATTCCCTCCCTGAAACTTCATGTGGATGAGTTATTTTTCACTTCCTGGGCTCCATGGTGGTTGTGTCGCTGGTCAGTTGTGCGCTGCTTCCCTGCCCAGGGACAGCTGCATTTTGAAAAGGCGAGTGAAGTGATTGCCTGTGAAGGAGCTTGCTGTCCCCATCTGCGTACAGGTAAGAGTTCTGTACGGAATGGGTGCACTATTTAGGAAATTCAGCAGCTGGGACGGGTAAACAGGCCAGAAGGAGGTGACAACTGCTGACTTTATAGTGCAATGCTCTCTCTTTCTCAGCCTTGACAAACCTGTGAGCTCTTTCTCCTCCTGTTAACTGGCTGCTAAGATCTGAAAACAAAGGGATATTTTAAATTGAGTAGATCAGATAAGAGAAATGTCAAGTCTTTCTGATCTCGTGATAATGTGGCACCAAAGAGATAGGAAAGGCCATAAGCCTTTGTGAAGTGATTTGAGCTTTTAGGCAAGTGCAATGTACACCTCTGTTTCACTAGCAAGGGAATGACTAGTCACAACTACTTGTGAGAAGGTCACATATACGTACGAATGCTGTGTGAAACACTAAATACGGTTTTGGCACTTTCAAAGCATAGGACAGATTTCATTGTGGGTTTTATTTATATAACTGCATAAATGGTAGACCCATAAGGTTGGAAGCTGCTTTTTCCTGTAACTAATCACTGGCATTTCTGTAATAAAGCTTAAGTAGAACATTCAAAAATAGAGCTGCGGAAATCTTTTCGAGGGGGGCAAAAGGTTTATTTGTCAAAAATGCAATTTTAGACAATGCAAAATTATTCATAAATCCACTGAATAGCGTCGGCCAAAAATGGGGGCTAGATCACAAAACAGCTCACAGCAATAGCAATCCAGCCATTAGACCTCTCTCTGAGATGTGGGAGAGCTAGCAGCAATTTGCAGCAGTAATTTGAACATTGGAGTCCCTTCTGCCAGGTGAGAGCCCTACCTATTAGGGTCTGGGGCATTGGGAGGCAGGGCTCTCTGTCAGTCCCCCTAGTTGTTCCACTGTGTCTAAATAATTAAAGCAAAATGCAGGACAGACTAACACGGCTACATTTCTATCACTATTCTAAATAATTAAAGAGGCTGTTGGGGGTGACAGGAAACCCAGAGCAAGTGACTGTCTGAAAGGCTGCATTAGCCTGGTGATTACAGCACTTACTCATCCATCTTGACAACTCAAATTCCAGGAGGGATTCCTTCCCCTGTTTCATGAATCTAGCCCTTGAGAGAAAGCAAAACATTTTCGGTCAAACAATGTGTTTCATTCAACCCCAAACAGACTTGTTTTGATTTATCAGACTTTTAGGGCATTTTGCAATTTGGTTTGACCCATCTTGATTTTCTTCTTTCTTCCTTCCTGTACAATTGTCAGTGACACCTCCCCCCAAAAAAGACACGCTCAATCCCACTTGCTGGCTGACTGCTGCATGGTGTGCGGCTCTGAGGGACACACAGCTATCTGAGAGGAGGAGCTTCCATTTGGGTTGATGAAATCCAGGGGCATTAACTGTTACAGTAAAACTGGTTTTAAAGTGTTATAAAGGTTATAAAGTTTTAGCATCTATCTGAACAGGATATTTGCCAGTCAAATTGGATTCAAATTAATCCTTTTGCATTGTGGAGGAAGTTGGAGTCCATCAAAGTGAGATTTAAACTAAATCTGCTGTCACTGTCACTCTGGCCCCTATCCCTACCCTTCATTGCCTATTGTTCTGCCCTCTGGGGCAGAAGAGAACAACTTTTCTCCATCACTTTCATGGCAGCTTTGCAAGTATTTGAACACTGTGTCATACCTAGGATTGGAAGAGACTTCAGGAGGTCATTGAGTCCAACTCCCTGTCAAAAGCAGGACCAATCTCAACTGAATCATTCCACCCAGGGGTTTGTCAACCTGCAACTTAAAAACCTCGAGGGATGGAGATTCCACCACCTCCCTAATATCCAACCTAGACCTCCCTCACTGCAATTTGAGACCATTGCTCCTTGTTCTGCCATCAGTCACTACTGTGAACAGCCTCTCTCCATCCTCTTTGGAACCTCCCTTCAGGAAGTTGAAGGCTGCTATCAAATCCCCCCTCACTCTTCTCTTCTGCGGAAGTCCAGAGCCCTCAGCCTCTCCTCATAGGTCATGTGCTCCAGCCCCCTAATCATTTTGACTGCCCTCCACTGGACCCTCTCCAATACATCCATATCCTTTCTGTAGTGGGGGGCCCAGAATTGGACACAATAATCCAGATGTGGTCTAACGGTGCTGAATAAATCACTTCTCTAGATCTGGGAATAATCACTTCTCTAGATCTGCTGGCAATGCTCCTATGAATGAACTCCAAAATGCCGTTAATCTTCTTGGCTACAAGGGCACACTGTTGACTCATATTCAGATTCTTATCCTCTGTAATCCCCAGGTCCTTTTTTTGCCAAAGAAGCTACTTAGTCAGTCGGTCCCCAGCCTGTAGAATTATTTGGGATTCTTCCATCCCAAGTGCAGGACTCTGCACTTGTCCTTGTTGAACCTCATCAGATGCTCTGTCTCTGTTAATGTAACCCACAACTGTATTTGCTTTTTTTGCAACAGCATTGCACTGGTGACTCATGCTGAGTGTCTGGTCCACCACAATTCCCATATCCTCCTCAGCAGTGCTGCTGCCTGGCCAGTTATCACCCATTCTGCATTTGTGCATTTGGGTTTTTTTCCCTAGGTGGAGCACCTTACATTTCTCTTCGTTGAATTCCATTTTGTTGTCTATAGCCCAGTTCTCCAATTTATCAAGACCCCTTTCAATTTTAGCTTTATCCTCCATAGTGTTTGCAACCCTACCCCCTCAGCTTTGTGTCATGTGCAGATTTGATCAGTAAGATCTTTATTGCTGTATCCACGTTGTTAATAAAGTTGTTCAGTGGCACTGGATCCAGAACAGATACTTGTGGAAGCCCCCTGGAAACTTCCTTCCAATCGGACATCCGTCCATGAATTAAGAGTTTCTTACTATTTGCGGTTGTTTAACCAATTATGTGTCCACTTAGAAGTAGTTTTATTGCATTTCTCCATCTTACGTATCAGAATATCACGTGGGACTGTGTCAAAAGGTTTGCTAAAGTCCAGGTCTATTATGTCCTCCATATGCCCTCAGCTACCAAGCCAGTTACCGGTCAAAGAAGGAAATCAAAGTGGTTTGGCCTGACTTATTCTTAATAAATCCATGCTGATGGCTTGTGATTACCTCTTCATCCTCCAAGGATTGGCAAATGTCATGTTTTGTACATTGCTCGTAGCGCCCCAGGTACTGAGGTCCAGGCTGACTGGTCTGTAGGTCCCAGCTCCTTCTTTCCCATGTCTTTAAGGATGGGCACTCTGTTAGCCTAGTCCAGCCTTCTGCCACCTCGCCTGTCATTTATGATACATTCTGATAAAAGAAATATTCTGTTACTATAGAATTCTAGAAATGGGGATCCTTGCTTCTCAGGAAGCAGAAAGTTATCCTGGAGCACGGGGGGGCTCTCTTGGTCTCTAGTCTCAATGTCGAGCAGCACCTCTGGGTGAAATGGACTCTTTTGTAGTTTTATTTCAGAGGATAGGCATCCACAGTGTCATGGGGCCTCCCGTGCTTTATGGAAATTGGCTCATGAATATGCATAACTCGAAAATGCTTTAGACAAAATACCTCATGTAACATATCAATTTTAAAGTTACAATCTGCTGAATGTGTATATCCTCTGTGCAGGTATCATTCTTGTATGTGAAGTTATAAATAAGAAGTGTGGATCTCTTTATAATTCTAAATGTGCTAATAGCAGAGCTGACAGCTTCTGTGGGCCCTGGGCTAGGGGAGGGGGGCCCAGCGTGGTGCTCTCAGAAGGGGTGGGGCTGAGAGCAGCCAGCCCTGAGTGGTGCCCAGAGTATGACACCGTGCTCTGAGAGTGATTTAAAAGGCCCAAGGCTCTGGCCACCAGGATCACCAGGCCCTGGTGCAACTGCCCCATTGCCTTCCCTTGGCAGGCCTGTGTGTTAATGAGGCCTCCCATTACCGATGCTCCAAAAACTTAATGATTCAATGATCAAGGCAATGACCAGTGAATAGTTTTATTTTTCCTGAAAGCCCAAACTGTGGTTGGTCCTAGAAAGAAATGTGGCCAGGCCATCTGATGCTGAAACCCATTTTGGATGTAGTACTCAAGGTGAGAAAAGTTTGGACTGAACACAAAGAATTCCCACATTGGGCAAAGGATATGAGGAAGAAAACAAAGGAGTTGCCAGGTGTCAGAAGACACCCCTCCTGCCCGCTCTTAAAATGCCTGTTAGAAACATCTAAGGCTGAATAGGCGAAAGCTCAGGCCCAGCTAGGAGGTGCTTAGCTTGTAAGAACAACTGGGTAGGGCAGCATTTCCCAAAGTATGGGTCACGGCCCGGTACCGGGCTGCGGGAAAAAAATACCAGGCCTCAGCGTGGCTGCCAGGAGGGGAGCAGCGCGGGGCGGGCTGGGAGGAGGTGTGTGTGTGGGGGAAACCGGCCGCTGGGAAGCAGGGTTGGGGGCAGCGGGGCTGTCCCGTGGAGATGGGGGGGCAGGTGGCCGGCGGAAGCAGGGTTGGGGGCAGCGGGGCTGGCCCGGGGAGATGGG